TATGTACGTATATGTATGTATGCATGTATGTGCTTAGTTTATTAGTCAGTGCTTGAAATGGGTACCAATGTTCAGGACTGTTCGTCAGCATGCGTGCATATGCAAGTACACAAGTCGCGCGTCTGCCTATGTATGCCTATGTAAGCGGTGTACGTCATTGGGTGCACTATGACGATTTGTAAACTCTAACCTCTGCACCGCTAGTCTATATTACCTGGCTCTGGTTGCCAAGTCTATTCAAAATAATGAACCTGTGGTTTTTAAGCCGGAAATTATTTAGGGTTTAGGGTTTACTAAACATCACTTTCATATCACCTCCCTGGCCTTGGCGGTCTGATCGCCCTCCAATTTAGCCAAGACGCGTCAGGGTATGTGTGCTCATACGTGGGTGCGCACTTGTGCACTACACACACATGTGCAGGTGCAAATGGTGTAACCATGCGTGTATATGTTTGTTTGTTTGTTTCCATGTTTGTGTCACGGTTGTGTCTGTTCATGTGCATTTGATGCGTAGTGCTCGTGAGACATGCGAGCCAACAAATATGCCATAGTCATGGGGGCTGCAATATCTCGACCCCGAACCATGCACCCGAGAGGTATCTAGACAAACTGCACGAAAATCCTCAGATCTGGCTTCAGCAACCGAGTGCCTCGGTCTGAAGGTACCACAGGTCGGACAACACGCCTCGGCAGCGAATGGTTTATTGGGGCAGGGACCATTAAAGACCTCCCGTTCTTCAATCCAACTCATCAGTTTAGGTACACCCCTGGCAAAGCTTCACTACATATGTTAGCTTCGACTGAGTTTATCTAAGAATCGCTGATTTTGGGGCTGTTTACGTCTCAGGGCCATTTGAAGGGCATGCGGCGATGGCTGGACAGCATCCTGCTGCTTCATTTGAACTAGTGACCGAAGGGGCAGCGTGTCCTGATTCAGACTATAGATTTCGACCTACGGGAAAGTGCCCCCGGTGTCTACATGCAGCTTCACAGGCACGCAAACAAGCTAAAACCTCTTGGCTCGTAATTGCAGAACGTACATTAACATCTAACTATAACCAACATAGCACGGACATCTTATTTGAGGAGCACTCTTAAATCAAGGCATATTGAGATGTCGGATGAGCCCTCAGATGCTACACTGTGGATAAGCTGTACGTAGGACAAGAATTCTTGAAGTAGGGGTCGCGGAACATTTTCCCAACATAAAGAAGAACAGAACAATACACAACCCCTTCTCCAGATTCGACAGAAAACGGCAGGAAACAAGTTACTCTGAGATATCTTGAGATCAACTTTGGTCCTAAACCGTAAACCGCTTGAAACGTTGCGGGTGCAGGCGTTTCGGGCATTAGCGGGCTGGGTGTAAGATTTCGGCCGGAAACGCCGGACTACTTAGCCACTCGAATGTTATTATTAAGGTTTAGGGTTTTGTGGTTTAGGGTTCAGGGTTAAGGTTTAAGGTTTGCATGGGGTTTAGAGTTTAGGGTGAATATGTGAAGAACGAACGAATGAACAAAGAACAGACACAGGGCGATGAATGAGACTGATGTCTGACGTTTTGTGGATGTACGCACAGCTGTCCCCATGTATGTGCTTGGACCCGGGCCCGGATGTGTTGGGTTTGAGTGGCTGAGAGTGTCGCATTGTAGAAGGGCCGTGCAGCAGGCCCCTAAACCCTGAACCCCAAACCCTCAATGCCCTAAACCCAGAGAAGTGCTTCCAGAAGGCGGCTCTCTGTGTGTGTGGGGTCAGGACTCTCGAAAGCACTTTGAAAAGAGGCCTCGTGCACTTCAGGGTCGAACTGAAGGTGGTATCGCAGTTGAGTTTGAATTAAACAAAATCTAACACTTTTGTGTTTAGTGTTTGCGGCTCTTCGTGCAGTCTAAAACGCTAATACCTTCCGCCGGGTTTAGGGAGTAGGGTACACAACTTATGCTCACTGACCTTGTTGCTCGCGACAAGCTTCCTAGCTCCATTCAGCTAACGCCGCACGAGCAGAAAAACCTGCCGAAGCGGCAGACCAACATCCTAAACAATCCATGAACCTGGAACCTTACACCTCATCTCAGCTTCGATTATATACTTAGACACACACTTAAGATTAATTTATAGGTGCGGGATCTTGGACCATGGCGGGACATTGGAGCATGCTCTATGCAAGTCTGATTAAGTCGACCTATCTTGGCCCACGGCCGTTGGAGTTGTCCTCACCGCCATGGATCCACAGCTTTCCTGAGAGCTGGAGAAAGTCTCGGAATCTCAAACCGGTTCAGGATTTGGGGTTAAAGGAAGGGTTTAGGGTTTAGGTTTCGGATTTAAGGCTTCGGGTTTAGGGTTTTCTGATTTGGGTTTAGGGTTTGGGGTTCAGGGTTTGGGGTTTACGGTTTAGAGTAAACCTTCACAGCCACCAGAATCACGAGGACTGTGCCTCGAACAAATCTTTGAAGACACATGAAGGCCTTCCAAGGCCTGGCTTCGCAACTCTAAATTCAGGGATCTGAACCTGATTTTAAACTACCTGGGGCGGCTTGGGGACTTCAGTCTTGCGTTTTGGGGGTTAGGGCCTTGGGGCAGTACCCGAAACGAAAAATTATGCACTTGTAGTTCTCTCGCTGAAAGCACCTACAAGAAAGCATCCAAACACCCACCAACTCAACCCTGACCCCTGAACCCCTCAAACAAAACACCAGACACGATACTTAGTATTCTGAACCCAGGCGCCGGTTGGTGCAAAGACGGATTGGTGGCGACCCCGGGCAGAAGGGCTGGTGCCTGCTCGGGATGTGGATCAATGTCTAAGGCCTATAAGCCCGAAACCCTAAACCCTGAAACCCAAAAGTTCTAAACCAAAAGCTTTCCGGGTTTTGCAGCATAAGGTTAAGTTGACGGTCTAGTACACAGGTTAAACGAGCTTCACCACAGGCCGTACCTTTGTCGCGGCATCCAGCTAACGCACCAGGATCCAAAGGGCCTAATCAACTAGCAAAGAACTGCCTTCGCCGTGAAACCCTAAACCCTAAACCCTAAGCCCGAAAAGTGCCTTTGGTGTGGGATTGTTTGAAACAACTGGCTCCGGTCTAAAACCTTCTAAATCCCGAAGCCTAGGGCTGGAACAGGAACCTTTAAACCCCTAACCGCCCGAAGCTCGCATCTGGGCTTTAGGTTAGGAATTTAAAAATTCGTGGGTTTCGGGATTCGGGTCTGCGGGTAACGGTTTAGTGTGAATTTAATGTAGAGCTGTGGGTTTACATGGGTTCACAGTTCGGCGGTTGGACCGAGCTGTAAGTCGAAGTTAAATATCGTTCCTGCACGAGCCTGGCGACACTTCCGTCCAGGAGTGCAGGATCACCTGCCAGCACAAGAAATCTGCAGGTTCAGGGTTTCGCTTTTAAAAGTTTTGCCGGGCCGGAGGGTCTAGATTTCAGCACTTTGTGCACGCCCGCTCCATGGTCGTTCTTAAGACAGCAAGCCGCAAGCAAGCAGCAAGCAGCAGCAGCAACAAGGAATTGCAGAAGCCGACATGTCCTGTGTTTAAACGCATATGGAATGCGTGCGTGTGCGTCACATTGAACCCTCAAGCCAAATCTTCCGTTATAACTGCCCAGAGAGCTCAATACCCCTTAAAGAAGGAACGTAGCTTAAATCATAATACGAAGCCCCTTAACCCTAAACCCACTTTAAGGGGTATTGGGCTCTCCGGGAACCCCTAAACCCTAAACCCTAAACCCTAAACCCTAAACCCTGAACGTTTAAAGCAAGGAGCCTCCAAGTCGATGTACCACGTGTCCGACAAGTAGTAAGAGCCTGTCCCAGAAGGTTTACCTTAAGAACCCGAAACCCACTTTCTTGTAGGTTCCTTTATAAACCGTAATATGGGATTTATGGGGGCCCTACAAACAAGTAGGTTTTGGGTTCTTAAGGTAGGGTTTAGGGTTCACCTTTTCGGATTCACGGTTTAGGGGTTTAGGATCAGGGTGTCGAGCAACAAGCAATTTATAGGGATCCTACAGAAAAGTAGACTTCGGGTTCTTAAGGTAAGGAGTAAGGTAAAAAGGCCGGGCAAGTTCAACCGAGGATCTCCGATGTGCAGCTACAAAGATGTTAGGCATCAGGCTGTAATGTAGGGGCTTTAATCATTAGGGTTTAGGGTTTAGGGTTTAGGGGCTTTAATCATTAGAATAGGATTTGGGGGGGTAGATTCTGCTAAAATTTGTAATGAGGACCCCCCCCCCAAAAAAAATATAGGTAATTATTAAGGCCCCTATATTATGCTCCGATAGTTCGCAAGCTGCAAAGACATTCTGCACAAGCCCTGCGCAAAAAAGAAGCCAGTAGCATCTAGAGAGTTTGAAGATCTCCAAGCAGTTATAGTAAACTTACTTGCATGGGTCCCGTGGAAGCCTCCCTATGGTTCTCCGATGTGCTTGTATCTGTCGTCAAATTGTATGAACATGAGCTGCAAAGAACTTTGAGGCTTAGGCTTTTGGATTTCGGCTGTGGTGTTTAGAAATCCCTGTCATGAAGAGAGAACCACAGATCACTGATCATCCGAAAGCTGAAGCCTAGCAAAGCCACCTACCGCCTACAGCTGCCATCGTTAATGACATACAGCACCGCACGTAACAAAAATAACAAGTACAACCTGAACCACAGGTGCATATAGATAAACAACTGTGGAGTGCTGTGCAGAACGAGTTTAAACTATAAACAGGAATGACACTTACACCAATGAGGCATCATTCTTCTTACTTCCGACAGAGCCCTAACACGCAATGTCCCAGTTGTGTCGGTTCTTCAAGTTTTCCTACATGTTCTCCTAAACCCTTTACCCCAAAGCGTTCTCTGGAGGTTCTCAAGGAGTTCCTGCACGTTCTCGGCCCGAAAACATACGCTGATTCAGGCTGTCGGGTGATTCATGATTGAGCCCAGATCCACTCCTGGCAGTCTCCTGCCCGCCAGAATCAGGGTTTAGGAACCCTAAAGCCTACACCCTAAACTGTTAGGGTTTGAGGTTTAGGGTTTTTTGGCTCTAGACGGACGTTGACCAAACCCTGCAGTTTCTGCAGACCTCGAAACGCCTAATTGTAAGGGTCACGACATAACAAAAACCGAATAACGAATGCCGAGGGTTTAGGGTTTAGGGTTCTGGGATAACGAGCTCCGAGAATGTAATATAGGGGCCTTAGTACTTAGAAAAGGGTTTTCGTGTATATTATACCATAATTATCATAAGGACCCCCTCAAGATAGTATTAGGTAATTATTTACGCCCCCTATACTGCCGCCCGAGCCCTGAGTAACGACTAGACTTCACTACCTAAGCCCACGGCTCAGTGAGGGGTCGTAGCCACCGAAGATCCTCAAAGCTTGCGGGTTCAGTGATGCTTCCAGGTTCAGTCAGGGATCAGGGTTGGAGGGTCGGGGTACTTATTAAGTAGGTAATAATAAGTAGACTTATAAGTAACCTAAAAGGGACTCTAATTTGGGCTATGGTACTTGTAAGTCTTTGGAATAACTACTTACTAAATCTTACTAAGTCCCCGGCCCCCGACCCTCCAAGTAAGGGATCAGGGATTAGGGTTTAGGACAAGAGAAAGACTGTACCGGCTTCGCTACTCTGATCCCAAGCCCCATCTCGACTTCACGGGTATGCTGCATGTGTGCATCGTCTCGTAGACTAGTAGGGGAAAGCTACCCTTGCCAGGAATCTGTTTAAGAGGGTCCGGGGGACTTAGTACGTGGGTAATAATAAGTAGACTTATAAGTACCCTAAAAGGGATCCGAAATGGGGTACGTATAAGTCTACTTTCAAAGTAACTACTTACTAAGCCCCCCGACCCTCCAAATA